TCCTACTTTGTTTTTCTTCTTCAGTAGTGCTTTGCTTATCCGAGGTCTCTTTCCTTTCCATATAAAGTTAGTGATCATTTTTTCCATATCCCTCATTATAATGCTTTACACTGTCTTATTGCGCCACCCTTTGAAATCTTCTGTTCAGCTCTTTTACTTCATCATTTTTTTCCTTTCACTTTAGCTACTCTACATTCAAGAGCAAGTTTCAGAGTCTCTTCTAACATCCATTTTTGTCTTTTTTTTTCTTTCTGTTTTTTGAACAATCTTTTGCTTTCCTTTGTATGATGTTTTTGATATCTACCTATAACTCATTTGATCTTTGGTCATTAGTATTCAATGCTTCAAATCTATTGATTTAGACTTGTCTAAAAAGACTTACCATTTTGGTAAAATAAAGGGTCAGTGAAAATGAGAGAAATTCTCAATGAGATGGATTGACACAACAGCCACAACAATTGATTCAAACAAACCAAAGATCGTGAAAATGACCTAGCACTAGGCAACATTCTCTTCTGTCATATATAAGGTTGACTTGAGTCAGAGCTCACTCACTCATTGGTAACTAACAATAACAACAAGAAAGAGACTTAAGATAAACATTAATAATTAAGTGATATGTAACTGGTCTGATTTGAATCTAATCTCTCAATGAGGAGAAAGCAAAAATGTGCCCCTCTAACCAGGCTTACTGGTCTGACAGAGACTAGTGAAACCCCTGAGACTATGGTCCCCAGTCACTCTTTAGGCTTGGAATTGAATTCACTTCCGTGGCTTCCAGCCAAAAAAGAGATAGGCACACAAAGCGAACATTTATACCAGGGAGGTACACTCCTTAGAACAATCAACCCATGGGAGATCAGTAGGGCAGTATTTGCACAAGGAGATAGCTCAGAGGGCAAGAAATGCATGGGAAGGAAGGACACAGGGAAAAGGCAACCACAGGGAGGAAGTGGGAAAAGAGCTATTACACCGTGGGGATTGCAACCAATGTCATGAAACAAAATGTGTACAACCTATTGTATAGAAAATGAATTTGCTCTGTATTTTCACAAAAATCATAATTAAAAAAATATATACATATGTATGTGTACACACACACACACACACACACACACACACACATATATATATAAAATGTTCCCCTCTACCAGGTTTTCCACTCACCGTGACATCTAACTTCTCAAGGGCAAAAAGCTGGTGATCCACCTGCACCGACCACAACAGTTTGTCTGCTTCCTCCATAAGCTTCAGTGTCCCTGTAGAGGCAGAAGTAGGCAAGGGGTGTGTGGGACCAAACCCCCAACCAGACTCTGCAGGCATGTAACCTCCCATATCCCCCCCCAGCACTGCCCATCAAACTGGCCAGGAAACTCACCATCTAGGGTGCAAAGTGCAAAGAGGCCAGAGCCACCACTCTCAGGGCTATGTCCTACAGGTGAGACAGAAGGATAAGGAGCAGGCCAAGATGAGAATGTAGAAGGGGAATGGTGATCACCAGCATGGAGGGAAGGACAGGACTGGACATGAGAGAAGGCCCTGTATCTCTCTCCCCAAGAAGTAACTGTCCCTTGGTACCCTCTCTTGCACCCATCCCACTTTCACCTTGTTTGATGCTGCCAATCAGGTGAGTGGAGACATTCTTATTGTGGATACGGCCAGACGTCTGGTGCAGTACTACATCTCGGGCAGCAGGGGGCTCCCTGTGGGTAGGTGGGGATGAGCTAAGTGGGAGAGGAAGGGAGCTTAGTTCTCTAGGCCTTCAATAGGGCCCTATCTCTGTAATGGCGTCTGGGATATGAATCAGCTTGGAAATCTATTACTAACCTCATCTGACCCATCTGGCAAGTGGAAAAGAGAGGGTTAGAGCTGCCCGACTGGGATCTTAGACTTTCTTCCAAGTGTTATAAGGTTAAAGCCCTGGATTCCCTGAGTCCTTCATGGGGCAGAGACACTTGGGCTGAGACCTAGATGATGCAGCTGTCAGACCACAGACCCATCTCACTACCATGTGACATCCTGGAGCCCATCTCGCTTCCACACCATCCATAGCCTGTACCCCATTACCTGCTGCCCTCTGCAGCCCCCTCAGAGGCAGGAGGGGACCCAGTGCTCTTGTTCCAGGTGCACAGCAGAATTGCATAAGCACAGCCTGGTTGAGATACCATCAGTTCAGGAACACCCAGAGGCCCTGGAGTCACTGACAGACTGTCCACCTGTACCAGGGAAAAGGGGCTTAACGGGATGGAGAGAGAAGGAAGTGAGCCCATGCAAATGGTGCAGGGGCACTGGGAATAGTATTCCAGGATCTGATGGCAGCAAGAGGAGGAATTCTAGAACACATTGGATTCCAACCTGGTACCCTCCTTTCCACACAGGCAACCTGTGCATGCCCCAAATGGGGGTCCACATCCTGATACAGTCCACATCCCACCCACTACACACTCCTAATTCTTAGCCCAATGTCTCCTCCTCTTTGCCTGTCCTTTTTGGCACTTTCTCAACAAGGTCATTTTCCTCTCTTCCTACTCGTGTCCTATCCCATACCCGCTCTCCCACAAGGCTCCTCTTCTAGAGGAGACTTCCTCCCCAGGCCCTGGGTTCTTCAGTCCCCAAGCTCAGCCTCTCACCTGACCCTCCAGCATCCATTTCTTGAGGGATACCAGTTGCCCCATCAGATGATCAGTGCCCTCACCTAGATCTTCCCAACGGAAAGCTCGCACTACACGGTCTGTGTAACCTACCACCAGCTCGCAACACCCATCTCCATCTGTGTGTACAGAAAACAAGATTGTTTTGGAGCCAGATTTGTACTTTTCAGCTTGAAATCGTACAAGCACCCTCCACTACTCTACTAACACCATCACTTTCTGTCCAGTGTAACTTCATGCCTAGTCTGCTGTGCTATCTACCTCACACAATTTGACTGGTACTTGCTCCCTTGCCCTTCCTTGTACTTAGAACACTCTACCCTTTTTCTGTGGGTCCTGTTACTTCTTTCCTAGTACTTCTCTCAAAAACACAACACAAGTATCCCAATTCATTCCTCTTGTTGAGACAGTGTCTGTTCTAAATTATGAGTTTATCTGTATGGCTCACTCCCTTTATCTCCTTCAATTTTTGATCAAATGTCACCTTCTCAGTGAGGACACCCCTGACAACTCCATTAAAAATTGCTACCCCAACTTCTACCCTAACACTCTCTAGCTCTTTCTGTGTCTTACATTTCTCTATAGCACTTACTGCTTTCTTATATACAGTTTAGGATTTTTACAAAACCTATCCTATTTTCTGCCTCTTCCTAATAAGCTCTAAGAGGACAGCAATATTGTCTGTTTCATTCACTACTGTAATCTCCGTGCTTAAGAACAATGCCTGGCTCACAATGGGAGTTTAGTAACTCCGCATTAAATAAAAACAAAAGCATAAATGAATACTGACTTCACCCCTTAATCCCTTGGGATCTGCTCTTTCACCCATTGACTCCTACTCCCCTGACCGCTTACAAAGGCAGTCATGCCCACCGATGTCGCTGATCAGCATGACCTTGGTGTTGGCAGGGATGTGCTGTTTGAAAACTGGCCGCTGCTCCTCTCCCATTAGTGTCTCGTGGTGCCCAGAAGCATCCAGGGCTTTGGCAGGTGTCAGGTCAAACAAGTGAAACCAGCCTTCAGCACTCACCGCCACCACCAGATTCTGAGCAAGAGAGAGGTACAGGAACAATGGCATGGAAGGAAGCTTGGGTTCAAGCCTGACAGACCACAGAAGTCAGGGCTGAAATCTTTAACTCTCAACTGATTTTCACCTTAAGATAGGGATTAGAATAAGGCCTTGGAGTGCTACCAAAAGTCCCAAGGTTCCCTAGAGTTCTTACCTTTCCTTTATTACATACATCTCCGACCCCAACACAAGTCAGCTGCAAGAGAAGAAAGAGAGGCTCAGGGACACACCTTGAGGGAGAACAGTACTCCCTGACTGCTACAAGGCAAAAAGGAGAACGGTGCCTAATCACTACCATCCCCTAAAAACTTGTGCCGTGTGACCAACATTGATAGTCTGCATTAAATCAGGTCAGTGTACTATGGCTCCATTTACCTAGACAGCAACATAAAGAATTGAGGTAGTTAAGACAATTTGGCTTTAAACAAAACACAACCCCCACATCTAATACAGCCAGGTTATAATACTTCTAGACTTTTTCAAGCTATTTCCCTCATTTTCTACTACATTTTATAAGATTAGGCAACCTTAGGCAGATTCCATAAAGTACCAAGGAAATCACTCCACATCAGAAAACAAAAAAACCACCCAGCCTTGTGGAAGAGGGGGGCCTGATGGGACAACACTCATAGCCTGGGGGTGTCCCTCCCCAAACCAATTTATATTGGAAGCAGAAATTGGGCAGAGGAGTTGGTTAGAACACACTGTTACGGTTCTGTATGGGACTCACCCTTAGAGCCCCTGGAGAGAAAGGTTCTCTTTCCCTCACTCAAGACCCAAGTGAGTTGAATACTGACCATTCCCTGGCAGGAACAGGTGATCCATGGCCGGCTGTCATCATTCTTATACACAGAGAGCTTCCCACTGGTGTCTCCCACCACCAGTTCATTTAACTTCCAATGGAGAGAGAAGACAGTGTTAGGATGGGGTTTTCCTGAACGACCTCAAGCTCCTCTCTACTCAGCCAACCCTGGGGAAATCACAAGACCTCAACCTTTTTTTTTTTTTAAATATTTATTGTGATTTGGGTGAAAGTTTACAAAGCAAATTCACTTTCCAAACAGCAGCTCACATACACTTTGTCTCACGACATCGACTACAATTTACCACAATGCAACAGCTGCTCCCTCCCACTTCCTCCCCATCGTTATCTCTTCCCTGTGTCCTTCCCTCCCTGCACTACTGACCCCCCCCCCAGCTGTCTCTGTGTGTACACTGCCCTTCTATTCTCCCATGATTGATCTCTCCAAGGAGTGTATCTACCTAATGTAAATGTTCAGCTCATATGTCTGTCTTTTGTTTGGCTGGAAGCCACAGGAGTGGGTTCAATTCCAAACCTGAGAGGCAGCTAGGGGCCATAGTCTCAGTTGTTCTATCAGGCTCTTTCAGACCAGCAAACCTGGTCCGTTTGTTTCTTTGTTTGTTTGTGTGTTATGATTTTGAGTTTTGTTCCACATTGTTCTCCCACTCTATCCAGGATCTCCTACAGAGAACCCCTTCCGAGTGGTTGACAGTGGTAGCCAGGCACCATCTAGTTCTTCTGGTCTCATAGTCATTGAGGTTGAGGATCGCATGGTGTACCAGTCGTTTGGGCTAATTGTTTCTATGTGTCATTAGTTTTCTTCATTCTTTGCTCTGGACAAGGAGAGACCCATCGTTGCATCTAGATGGTCATTTGCAAGCTTTTAAGATTCCAGTTGGCTCCTCACCAAAGTAGGAGGTGGAAGAATGTTCTGCATTGTATGTTATGCCAATAGAGCTTGATGTTCCCCGCGACTATGGTCCTGAGCCCACAGGTCCAACTACTCGTTCCCTCTGGGTGGCTGGCTGTGGCTAAGAAGTGACTACAACCTTGTCCCTTGTCAGTTGTACTACATACCTGGGAATTCTTACAGAACATACAAATACACTTGTAGAAACATTGTCTGCCAACCCTATACATGGCAAGACCTCAACTTTTATCTCCATAAACTCAAATCACATGAGACCATCACAGTCATAGTTTCCCAGAGTTGCTTTATTTCTAGTCAGGGCTTTATATGTGGGTTGGGAGCAAGAGAGAGAGGCAGAGGAGGGGCAATACAGAATCCATGATCCATCTCAGAACTGCTCAGTGCCCCATATACCTACCTGACTTCTAGATCTTCTAATTTCTTCATTATAAACATGACACACGTCAAAGCAGTTCCAAGACTTTTGAAGAATCTAACTTCAGGCCTCATTATTTAATCAGGGGCCAAATAAAAATACAATGTCAGCTGTTGGGGTCCGCTCTCCACTAGCAAAACCTTCTGATCTTGATGTGTTTGAGTGAGTATTAGGAAGTACGTGCACAGGTGGGAAGAGAGTAAGAAGGGTTGCGCAGCAGCATCTCTGGTGCCCTCAAGTGGTAGATAAGTTGTCAGGAGGGCAGGTTCCCTGCATGGAGCCTCTTCTCCACTTTCTTGTTTTTAGGTACTTCGCTCCCTCATGGTTACCAAAAGACTGGCTGCCCTTTCCAGGGGCTCATGATGATAAAACAAGGTGGCCATAAACAGCTTCATAATATCCCTTGGGGGTATATGCAACAGCCCCTTCTTGTCCCTCAAATAGGGTAGACTGATAGTAGATTCTCAAGAGATCTAATTCTAAATGTAACAAAGAGGTGGTGGTATAGTGCCTAAGGCACTTGACTGCTAACCAGAAGGCTGGTGGTTCAAACCCACCAGGCACTCCTTGGAAGGAAGATTGGGCAATCTACTTCTGTAGTGACACCACCCCAGAAAACCAAGGAGGGGTCACTGTGAGTCGGATCTGACTCGATGGTAGTGAGTTTGGTTTTTTGGTTTTAACAAAGAGGTAACAGATCAACAGTAAGGAAAATTCAGAAATGATTTGAAATTTATTAATAATGGTTTAGTTTATATGAATCTTCGATTTATTTTAAAATAGTTTTGAGAGATGGGACAATTAGTTTCATAGAAGCATAAACCTGGGTTATTTACATCTGTATATTTGATGTTTCAGCTATGGCAGCCTGGCAGTCCTCTGAGGACACACAGGAGACAAGATACATAGCATAGGGGTTCAGAGTGCCATCACCTAGATTTGAATCAAGCTCTTTCTGTGTATAGTTTTGCATCTATTAAATAAGGATAATAACACCTGTGGCTTCTAGCCAAACAAAAGACAGGTACATGAGCTGAACATTTACCTGAGGTGGATACACTCCTTGGAGAGAACAATCATGGGAGAAACAAGGGCTGTTTATGCACAAGGAGATAGTTCAGGGAGCAGGAGTGCATGGGGAAAGGACACAGGGAACAGGTAACTATCGGGAGGAAGTGGGAGGGGAGCTGTTGCACTGGGGTAAATTGTAGTCAATGTTATGAGACAATGTGTATGTGAACAGCTGTATGGAAAGTGCATTTGCTCTGTAAACTTTCACCCAAATCACAATAAAAACTTAAGAAATAAATAAATACAAACAAGGATAATAAAAGTATCTACCTTATAAGGTTTTTGTGAGAACAGAGTCAATTGAGGAAATTATTTAGGACAGTGATTGGCATATAAACCAGTTGTTGTCAAGATGGCTCCCACTCCTGGTGACCCAGGAGAACTGTGGTCCACAGAGTTTTCAATGGCTGATTTTTTTGGAAGTAGACTGCCAGGCCTTTCTTCTGAGACACCTCAGGATGGATTAGAACTTCCAAACTTTTTGTTAGCAGTAGAGTGTGTCTGCACTACACAGGGACTCCAACTGGCATATAAACCAACAACAAGACTACAAACCTTCTCCCATGGAGTCAATTCCAAGTCAAAGCAACCCTACAGGGCAGAGCAGGACTGCCACATAGGGTTTCTAAGGCTGTAAATCTTTACAGAAGCATACTGCCTCATCTTTTTCTCATGCAACGGCAGGTGGGTTTGAACTGCTGATCTTTGCTGAATGCTTTTAACCACTGCACCATCACAGCTCATCAAGAGGCATATAGTAAGTATTACTCCAGGTGGTTTCTCAGCCTCTAGTTAAACACCTCCAAAGCTAGGGGACTTAGCATCTTTCATACCATCCCTTCTTATTTTTTATTTATTAATTCAACAAATCCCGTAGCACCTAGTAGGTCAACAAATACTAATTTAATGAATAACAAAAGACTTTTTAAAAAAGCAAAGAAAAATCAGAACAAAGGATAAAAAAAATGCCCAGCCAGCCCTGGAGTTTTTAGGTAAAGCTAAACAACCAGTTGGAGATGTAATGATAAGTACACAGGCTGCCTGCTGAGAAAGACCTCACAGTTTAACAGAGCAGGGCACAGACACAGGAGTAAAATCAAAACAGTGTGATAACTGCAGTGAGCAAGTAAATGTAACCCAGCCAGGCAGGGAGTGAGGTCACAGAGGCATCCTGAAGAGTACATGTCCAGGGCAGCCCATCTGCTTTCCAGCAGCTCTAACGCTTTCTAGCAGTTCTGCTTCTCTGGAGGTCACTCAGTGACAATAAAGAACCCCAGCTGGAGAGTACACACACCATAAGCTCAGAAAGGCTAAAGGAGAAAGGAGGTGAGATCTTCTCACTGATTTAGTCAGGCTTCAGGGGGCAATCCAGAGGGTGTGGATTCTATACCTGGTTTCTCCCTCTGACTCATCCAGAAAGAAATCAAAGGGGATGGGTTTATTAGGCGGAAATCAGTTTTTTTCCTAGCCACAAATCTCCAAGTGTCAGCCTTGGTACCACTCCAAAATTTGTATCCATACTCATAGAGGCTGGGGGGTATCATATCTGACCATTCACCAACTCTCTCAGCTACCTGTCCTTCTTTCAATTTCATGTATTAATAAGACGTAAAAACTTTCAAGTTGCTCTGAAACACATAATCACATTTACTTTTCACAATATTTATTCAATAAACATTTATTGGGTGCCAGGAACTGCTCTGTTATTTGTTATGTTATATGCCGCCAAGTCAAACCTGACTGACTCATAGTGACCCCTCCTTGGGTTTCCGAGGCAGTATCACTACGGAAGTAGATTGCCCCATCTTTCTTCTGAGGAGTGGCTAGTGGGTTTGAACCACCAGCCTTCCTGTTAGCAGCAAGTGCCTTAGGCACTACGGTACCAGAGCTCCCAGGCACTGCTCTAGGTGTTGGGAATACACCTATTTCACACTTACCAACTATCTCATTATCTGACATTTCACATTTACAGTCATAGTAGAAAAGCTACTATCCGACTATTTTGTGCATTAACAATGCACGGCTGGCAGTAATAAATCCTGAGGTGCAAGGTTAGAGTAACACTGACTGTGATGGTTAAGGTTATATGTCAACTTGGCTGGGCTTTGAATCTCAGTGGTTTGGCAGCTACGTATCTTCCATTTTCACATAACTCCAATTCTTGCATAACGATGTGGTCTTTGGAACCTAACAATGTTGATAAGTTAGTGGGTATATAGCTGTAAAACAACAGATAAATATCTCTATCCTTATGGCACTTACAACAGTGGTGAGAAAACATGCCTAATATTGCAGAACTAAGTAATAGAGCAATTTACTTTGAGAAGTACAGTTTCAAAAAAAGCTGGTGCTATGAAGTTATGAAAAAAAAAAGTACTATGTACTTTTCCTTTTTAAATAAAGGCAATCAGATAAAATGGAAAATATTGCACATCTAAAGTCACTTTGTTAATTTACAACTGTATTTAAAATGTAAAATACCTCCCTTGAATTTCTCATAAAATTGTACTGCTTGGAATATAAAGAGATGTGAAAGCCCATAAAGCATAATGTAAATTTATGAGAATAACGTTTTCCTCCCTAAAGAGGAGAGAGCCAGAATAGGCCTCACAAGATACCTTTTCCATCACAACACTAAGGAGGGGGAATAAAAAGATACCTGTACTATAGTCTGTGTTTTGGGGAAAAAGAGAGCACAGAACAGTTAAGGAGATGGGGATGAGAAGGGAAGCATACTCAACAACATTAATTAATTAATTAAATCTAAAAAAAAGACAGTTACCTAGAGTGTACTCTGAGGTGTTGATATGAAAACGGAGGTTACGTTTTTTAATACATAAATCTATAAACAGATGAAGTAAACATGTAAGTGTGTGCATATTTCATACCTCTGTCCATTGGGAAAGGAACTCTGGTGGTACCGTAGTTAAGGCATTAGACTGCTAACCAAAAGGTTGTCTGTTCGAACCCACCATCTGCTCCATGGGAGAAAGACGAACCCTATGGGGGGTCACTGTGACTTGGAATTGACTCGATGGGAGTGGGTGGGTCCATTGGGAGGCCTAGCAGCAATGACATACCAGTAACAACGTGCATATCTAGTATCAAGATGTTGGTTTATAAATTCCATTTCCACTAAAAGGAACCAGGGACTTTTGTAGAAAAGATTGCTCTCAGGAATGAAGCACAGAAATAACAATAAATATGAGCATGGGCTATCTTATTGTGTCAAAAAGCAGAGGAATTCCAAAGAATGACAGGGATATATCATAAAGACACAGGATACACTTAAAAACGCTAAATTGGCAAATGTTTTGTATACATGTTTTTACCACAATAAAACAAACAAAAAAAAGGGATACAAGAGCCAGTTAGAAGGAACTCCCACTGATCAAAGATGGGACAACACGAGCACAAACTAAATGATGATCGTAATGTTTTATAATCCACTGGATGAAATATGAATAACCAGTCAAACAAATAATACATGAGTGCATAATAATACAAATTTACATAACAACAAATGGGGAAGAGAGAAAGAAAAAAAAGGAGGATGCAGAGAAAGGAGGTGGAGTAGAGGGCAGGAGAGGAAGGGAATAATATGTTTTGCATTAAAAATATTAACTAGTCAGAGATAATGATTGAAAAGAGAATGTCTGGGAAAAAGGTCTTCAGCTCCATCAAGGGCCTCATTTGATGCTCCACCTCCAGTACCCTTTACATCGTTTAACCAATACATCACATTACATTTTGCTATTTTTGGGATTATCATCCAGCCACATTATGAGTGTCCGTCCTGAGGACAGGGACAGATTTGTTCATCTTTGAATTTCCAGACTGTAGCAGAGACTTGGAGCACAATAGGCAGTTCAATCAATATTTGCAGAAAAACAGAATCAAATAGTAACAACAACATAGCTAACATTCACTGAGCCTAAACTGTATGCCAGCCATTGTTCTACATACTTTACTTGTATTAACTAATTTAAACAACAAGGAACGGCTACAACAGGACGAAAAGGTAAGTGGAGATTGTTTTTGTAATTCAACACAGGAATGGCGTTTTAAATTTGCCAAACACTAGCGTCAACTATGGAGCTGGTACTGAAGAAATCCAGTTTTAGTAAGATGGGAGCGACGGGGGCAACTGTTGCCCGTCCCGCACGAGCTTAGATTCTACCTGGCGGAAGGCGAGGCAGAGAAGTACACCGATCTATGCCCATGCAATGTGCCAAAAACTGAAGGAGTGACTAACTCTGAGAGAAGACAGCAAAGCGGTGTTATTATTTTCAATTTACAGCTGAAAAAGTGTTTGAGGTTCTGAAATGTAAAGTGATAATTGAGAGGTTATGTCACTGCAGGCTTAACTATAAAACTAGTGATCCAGGAAACTTGGCCATGGGAGTTTACCAAGTTCCTACTCTGAAAAAAATTACTAAATTAAGCAGAAAGATCAACTACTCATCCTTCTGAAAAAGAAAAAAAAATACGTCCAAGTTATCAGGCCAACTAAATCTGTAATGATATCCAGGCACTTAATGTCAAGTTTTTTCTCTTTACGCCACCACGCTAGCCCCACCGCGCATGCTCGCTGTTCAAGAGGCACGCCTCCGGCAGCGGCTTCCACTTCTTTTTCGTCGCCCCGCCCCTGCGGAGATGCAACCTGAGTCTCTCGCAATGCGCATGCACTTACTGTATCATTATCGACGTCTCCAAGGCAGATTGCGTGCGGAAAGAGGCTCCCGCTAAATTCCAGGGCCACGCGTTGCACATAGCTAACCGACCTCATCACACTTCCAAGAGCCAAGGGAACGAGGACTCCTGCTAAACGTCCCCCGAGCTCCCACCTGACAACCTCCAGAGCGGAAGGCCACCTAAAGCGGAAAGTTACGTCACCCTCTGAGTCTCCAATCCCTGCCATCCTCGCTTACCCCTGGAGAAGAGGCGGGTCTTCCGAGCCCTCTGGGCCTGGAGGCGGGCTTACCCCAGCTACTCATATGAATGGCAGGGGAACGAGCCTCTGCGCTAATAGGTAGACCAACCATGATGTCACCGAGCTGTTCCCTTGGCAACAGGGCTCTCTAAAGGCTGGGCCTAATAATCTTGACTTCTTCTTTGGTGGTCCCGGCAAAGACTTCCAGCCATGAGACCAACCAACCCTGAGAATCATATTAATCATAATAATGGACAATTATATGGTTTTTTTTTTTTAAACTATGTAGCTACTTATTAAACCAAAAAAACCCATTGCTGTGGAGTCCAACTCACGGGGACCCCATGTGTTACAGGGTAGATATATGTTACATAGGACTTCTTGGCTATACTCTTTACTCTGAAGAAAGGCTTAGTGATCTGTTTCTGAAAGGTCACAGGCTTGAAAACCCTAAGGAGCAGTTCTACTCTTCACATACACGGTTGCCATGAGTTGTCATCAACTGGAAGGCAAGAAACAACAGAAGCAGATCACCAAACATTCAATAGAAGAATCCTGATCAAAAAGGGGAAAATGCAGAGCAGAATTTCAAAATCTCAGGAACTCCAGGCTTCCAGGAACCATGAAGTTTGGATGAATTCCTGAAACTATTGCCCTGAGAGAATCTTTAAACTTTAAACCAACATTATCCCCTGAAGTCTTCTTAAAACAGTCATTTAGCCTAAGTAGCAGAATATGTCTGCCTTGAGCACCCTGCTGTTCTAAGAACTTTCTATATGGAATCAAATTGACCAAAGCAACTCAAAAGCTTAGATGGGGACCTTAGGGGGCAATGAGTTTATGTTAATGAGAATAGCAACTCAGAAAAAGAGGGTGAGAATGATTGCACAACTTAAAACAATGTAATCAATGTCACTGAATTGTACATGTAGAAATGTTGATTTGGTTATGTTTTGCTATATTTTCAACAACAAAATAAAACTGAAACAAAAGATTACATAGCTAAGACTACAGACAATAACAAATCGACAGACAGTATAGGTGAAAAGGCAGTCTGAGTTGAAGGTGGTGAAACAATTGGAGTAGAAATAGCAAGACTGCTGACATAAAATGAAGAATATAACCAACGTCCCTGAACCGTGCCTGTAGGAGCCGTCGAACAGGTACATGTTTTGCTCTGTACATTTTCACCTAAAATAAACAAATTATTAAAAAAGCAGAACACCAGGACTTTCTTCTACAGTGCCACAGGGTGGGTTTGAACAGCCAAATTTTAGGTAATACAGAGCAGATTGTGCCACCTGGGGACCAGCTACACATTAAAACAATAAAAAACCCATTGCCGTCTAGTCAGTTCCAACTCATGGCTGCCCCATTCCCATAGAGTTTCCAATGCTATAATCCAAGGTTATGGAAGCAGACTGCCACATGTTTCTCCACTGGAGCAGCTGGCGGGTTCGATCCTACAACCTTTCATTTAGCAGCCAAACACTTAAAAGACTGCACCTAGCTACCCATTAGGGGTCCTGAAAACAGTGTAGTGAATTGCAGCAGTGTTTTTAAAAACAATTAAATAGAACATAATAGAAAATGCCATGTGACTTAAAATAATAAATTTTTTGTGTGTGAAACTTTGCACAGCCACCCCGTCTGTCAGTGGAGGCCTGCATGTTGCTGTGACACTGAATAGGTTTCAGTAGCAGAGCTTCCAGACTAAGACAGACTAGAAAGAAAGGCCTGGTGATCTAGCACCAAAAATCAGTGAATGAAAACCCTATGGATCATAATGATGTGATTTGCAACTGGTCATGTGGATGGTACAGGCCTAGGCAGCAATTTGTTCCACTGTGCATGAAGTTGTCATCAGTCAGAGGCCAACCCAGTGATAGCTAACAGGCACTGAGCACATTTATAGGTTTAGTCTGTAAGCCCAGGCTGATCTATAGTTGATCTTTCAGGAGTCAACGTTATAAGGATCTCTAATTCACCTGGGGATGTTGGATTGGGCCTGGTTCTATGTCCGAACATCACTGGAGAAGGCTAGAGAGCAAGACCTTTCTGCCTGGTGGGGTGGAGCTATCAAATTTTATTCTAGAAGTTCCAAGGGATTTGACAGCCAGCTGAGAACAAGGAAGAGATCAGAACAGCAAACAGAAGGTAGTCTAGAGAAATACTCAAAAACACCACATTTCCTGCCACTGAGTCAATTCTGACTCAGCAATCCCCATCAGGTTTCCAAGGCTGTAAATCTTTAAGAAAGTAGATAGCCTCATCCTCCTCCCAGAGCCGCTGGTGGGTTTGAACCACCACCCTTCTGGTTAGCAGCCAAATGCCTTACTCACTACACCACCACAGCTCCTCAGATAAATATTAGAGACTACAGATACTGGCTGAAGCTGAACTACTTTAAGTTCCTTTTCTGGTGGTGCATTTTGGTGCACCAAGTCCAGGTTCATTAAAATGCCCTGGGTCACACTGTACCTGGTGCTTTAAATACCTCATTTACAGAGGGCCTGCATGTGACCTCACCCTGCTCTATCACATCTCTATCCACTCTCATCCTAGCTCAAACCCTAAGTTTTGTACTATGTTTGGAGGGGTGGGGAAAAACCCAATTTAAAAATATTTACCTCTAAATGTAGTTAAACAGTTTAGAATTACATATTTTGTTTCACTGTATTGTTTTGCCACTGTTTTTTCTCCAGCCCTTTGAATGAAACTGCACAATAGAGAAGTAAACAAACAGCTTAGGACAAAATAGATGAGGACCACCCTGCTTCCCTCACCAAGTGCTCTGGTCTGACTCAGTTCTCTGAAATCATACCCTGACCCAGTACACAATGTCTTAGTTTTATCTTCTTCATCACTTGAGCTGCTTGTTCTTGACCTTTCTGTGCCATAGGGTAGCTGTCTTTGTTTAGTGTGTTTTCCCTGAAGGTCATGTCATTATGATCACAGTGCAAATACTATGCCTTTGGCTTTGTCGAGAGAGCCCTGTAATGGTAGATAGGGACTTAAGAGTGGTCTCTAAGAAATATGGCATGGATCAAGTCTTAGTATCCTATGCCTCACTCTGCTCCCTTGCATCAATTACTTTGAGTGACCATTCACAGTAAGTGGGACTCAGGACTAGGCATCGCAGAGCCATGTAGCAAGATCCCGGCTCCACAAAGAGCACCCTTGTTCTTGGCCCCTTTCCAATGGCATGGCAGGTGGGTCTCCACTGACACCATCTAGACTGCCTCGTTTTAAGCCAAGCACTGCCTTTCAGCGTGACTTTTGGCCTCCTCCCCAGAAATGTTTGGTCAGGCCATCTTCCTGGTTAGGTGACACGGACACAGTTGCGTGGGTGGTATATTCTTTACATACCAGCCTAACAGTAGCTTCAATAAAAACTTGCCTTGGGGAGCCAATAGGGGGCGAGGTTGTTAATTGGGAAGCATTTCTAAGGAGACTCTTTGTCCATTTCATCCTCCCAGAGTAGACAGAGTGGCTCTCTTGTCTGTCTAGGGTGCCCAGGTAAGAAATGGACCCTCAAAACCTTCCCACACATACAGTACACAGCCACTCACCACTTGCAGGCAGGGCCAGGGATTCTGAATGGGCTGTTTGGAGACTTACATTCCCCTTTCTTCTCTCAAATTCACAGGGCACCTTAACTATTACAGGTTCTGAAAATTCACAAAGTATAGAACCTATTTTCCAAACTAACTTCATCACAGAACATTTTCCCCCTGCTCTACTCCTAGAAGGAGCTCTGGTGGCATTGTGCCTAAGGCACTTGACTGCTAACCTGAAGGCTGGCGGTTCAAACCCACCAGCCACTCCTCGGAAGGAAGACTGGGCAATCTACTTCCGTAGTGATAGCTTCTTGGAAACACAAAGAGGGGTTTCTGTGAGTCAGATCCAACTCAACGGCAGTGAGTTTTTTTTGTTTGTTTGTTTCCTACTTCTAGAAATTGGACAGAACAAGAACATGGACAGCTCGGCTCTGAGTGTCATTCAGTTTCACTTTTGAGTCCTACCCACTTCCTCACAAGTTTGGTCCTATTGGAAAGGACCAACTTTTGGAAAGCGTTGATCCTAGATCTGGCAGGATTGTTGCCTTGACTGTCCAAGACTCAAATGGTCATTAACTGAAAGTGGTAAGTAGTTCTTCATTGTCACTGAAGCCCAAACACACAAGGAAATGGGCTTGAAATAGAGATTAAATGGCACTGGTTTGTTCACTTTGAAACAGTGAATTTTACCTCAGTTAAAAAAAAAAATCAAAGGAACTTTGTACATTTGAAGCACATCTCACAGTGCAATAGTGACCGAAGGTTTTACAGAACACGGCCCAAGTCTTACACGTGGGCATGAGGAATTAAGGTATGCTGGGCCTCTCTTCTAGCCAAAGGATGCTAGGTGGTCATGAAGCCATTGCTTTTTCTGGCATCCCCGAGTCCTCAGAGCTACTTTGTGAATTTTCACTTTGTCTCTCAAATTGCCATGTTATTAGATGCTAAATAGATGTCTTGTGTTTCTTCAAATTTATAATTGGAAATAGTTGGTGTATCCAAGTTACTCTGAGGTTGGCAAACAACTGGTAATCACAACCATAAAATGAGAAATAGTGACTTCTGAAAAGAGAGTTTTCTTGTTTTGAGTATCTGTTAACTTTTACATTGGCTTCACTCAGTACAGCCACTGTCAAGTCAACATAAGGTTACAAGGTTCTGAGGCGTTCTGCATTTGGGAAGGGAAAATTAACCACTGAAGACAGTGAGGAATCAGGCAGGAATAAGAATCCTTCTGATTGATTTTCCCAACAACACTTTTTCAAAAAGGTACTAATTGTTTTTTACTATTCTTAACTAAAATGTTTCCTGACAGATTATTTCTCCAATTGAAACAAGACACATTATTCACCCCAGCTTTACTCTCAGGATGTTAGAGCCAATGGAGTGGAGAATCAAGTCCACTTATGTTGACAGACAGGTTGGGCCAGGCCTTGCAGGGTTTTGTGGGCCAAGAGGATTCTTCAGCCAAGTGGGATTGTTAAAACACTGAAAGGGTCTTAAGCAGTTAAAGGGATCCAATTTGGATGCAGGGCCAGTGAATTTTAGGTAAAAAAGGGAATGCAAGACAGGAGCCTTTTGTACAACAGGCTAGAGGCTGGTGGTAATGTTGGGGAGGGGGTGTAGGGAAGTGGTAGTGCTTGATTGGAGAGACAGTTAGTACTTGTTATTTGCCGTCCAGTTGGACTCGACTCATAGCAACCCCTCCTTGGGTTTCTGAGGCAGGATCACTATGGAAGTAGATTGCCCAACCTTCCTTCCGAGGAGTGACTGACGGATTTGAACCACCAGACTTCTGGTTAGCACTTCAAGTGCCTTAGGCACTACGCTACCAGAGATCTTAGTTAATACTTAGGAATAGAAAAAAACTTATAGAACTTGATGTTTGGACCAGTATTAGGACAGGAGAAATCCAATTTTAATTTTCCCAGAAAGAGACCATTTTGCCATTGTGTAGTAATTAGCTCATAATAATTGCTAATAGTCTTCCTTGTGTAAGTATACTCTCTGCAGACAGGAAAATATAAATGGTAGTGAACAGGATACAACTCATAGGGAATGAACTTAAGGACTGATCCAGAGCAGAGTTGAGTATGTGGTGGGATTATTTTTAACCTTAAAGACTTTAGACATTACAAAACATTCTCATAAGACAATTCTAAAAACCAAGGTTTACCCATCCCCAGTGTTTTACAGGAGTGCAATTAAGTTTTAAATTCCTGAATTTCTACAGAAGAACTGTTTTCCATCTCCTTATTTCAGATGAGGAGAGGCTCTAGACTTGCCTGTGGTCACACGAACCTCACAGCAGTTACCTGAGTTCAGATTTCACTTTTCAGGCATACATACCTTCCATTTGACTTCTGAGCCTTGGTTTCCTCATCTGTAAAATGGGGTAATGCCTCCTTTGTAGGATGATGTGAGGATTAAGGCTAACCCACATGAGGCTCTTGATAAAATGCTAGACTCATGTGCCATTTGCCCCATTGACTATAGGACAAGACTCTAATCTTGAAATAGCAAAGGGACCAGATATAAACTTTAAGTACAGAAGTCTGAGGTGAACTGAGCAGGAGAGTAAGCAGCGACACCAGGAAACCAGAACTCCCAAATCTTTGTTTGCTGTGTCTGGCTCCAACATTAGCCGTATTGTGGGAAGCGATGAAACTTTTTTTCCACATAGAAATTAATCTTCCACAATAAGAGCATGAAGAAAGTTTTCTTAGAAGGCATCATACAGTCATGTGGGTAGGCAGACTACCCCTATCACTGTGGAGAAAGGTCTGGAGAGCCCACACAAGAGGAGAGAGAAAGGCTAAGGGCACAGATACAGCGTCTGGCCTGCAGCCAATATTATCCAGAGTCAGCTTAGTATGACTGACTTATGCCCCTTGGCTCCTTCCAGGGCCCCATAAAACTACAGGAGTCAAGGGTCAATGCATAGTTAGGAAAAAGCACACATGCTTCTTCCCTTTCAAAAAGACCCTACTATGGCTGGAAAGTACTGTTCCCTGGCTGTGGCCACTGTCCTTCACTCTCACCTTACTGTATAAATGGAGGTGTTAGTGACACCAGGGATGGTACCCTTGGTAAGATCAGAAAGCAAGAAACCACAAAGATGTCTTTACTGGTTAGGGAGATGCAAACAAATATAACTTCAAAACAAACATGCACATTCCCAGTCTTCTAGATGCTTATACCTTCCTCTTCGTAAGTGTTGGAGGAAGAAAACCAGAGCTACTAAAACACACCAAGCAGCTGAGGGCAGGGAGTGCTGGGAACTTACAGCAAGGCTCAGAAGCCCATGTTCCAGGCTGCAAAGCAGTGCTGTTCCTGGTCCAACTATTATTTCTATATCAGATGCTGCATTTTAAGTCAGACTGGTGACTAAATAGAGTCACTGAATGAATTGTACCCTTACCTATAATCTACCCACCAACCCTGACCCTCAGAAGCTGTAAGAAAGGGTTGCCTGACACCCAGGTTTTATGGTTTCCACTTTATTGCTCAAGCACGGAACTTGAGGAGAACCTGGACCTTCAGCAACGTGCAGAGAAGAGGCTGAGGGGAGGTGGGGACATAATCTGGCCAAGAAGGGTAAGGGATAAGAAGGGAAACAATGGAAGGGGGTACAGGGGGTGATCACCATGACACCAGAAGACATCATCAGCCACACCATCTGGGGTGAGGAAGGGAACAAAGAGAAGTAATGGGCACAGCAGTGGTTTTTCCCATACCCCTAGCACCCACATGGAGGCCACATGTTTGGAAATGGACTGCAAGAGGGAAAGGATGAGGAAAACAGCTGCCTGGGGGTCTCCCTCTCCACCCTGGTCTCACATCAGACCCCATCCCTACCATTCTCCCCCTTCTACCATTTGAAAAATGGACCTAGGAAACATAGGAAGCAAAATAAATTAACATTCTGATGAATAAGTGGATGGACATATGTTTATATGTAATGAGGGAAGGGGGGAGGCATAGGGGGTGATACCATTAAAACTACCCCCACCTCAATCCCCCCCAAGCCTACTACTTTCCCCCTTCCCCCCAAAGCCACCATCTAGCCAGATAGAAAAATAAAGGTCTAATTCACTCAAAATTCTTCAGTTTTTACAAAACTAACAGGGTGGAGTAGGGCAGGGAACAGGGAGGCAGGCAGCCACAGGAGTAGGGCTGGGGAGAGGCTATGCTTCTGTTTCCACCTGAGACTGGCTCCCTGCCACATTGTTCTGCTCATCCTTCATTTCTGTGTCAGAATTATGGTCTCCTGCTGCTACTTCTGCCTTGGCCTGCGAAAAGAAAGAGGAAGAGGAAGGGGTTGAATACCCTTTCTCATTTGGCCCAGTCTCTCTGTGGGAAAAGGTGACTTTCACTCCATACCCAAACTCTTGTCTACCTGTGCCTTACTAATCTGGTGACACCCCTCCATTCATCCAGCACACAGATACCTTGTGGGGTCTATTCCCACAAACACTTGTGAAATTGGGGAGGAAAAAAACCCAGCCACTACTGTGTGTGCCTACAGAGCACTTGGAATTTTAAAAAAAAAACATAACTTTTACACTGATTACATGTTTAAGTAACATTCTAGATAATTTGGGTTAACTAAAAATATACTATTTTTTAACCCTTTTTAAAATGGATGCTGCTGCTGCTGTTGTTGTTGTTATGTGCCATCAAGTTGGACCCAACTCATAGCAAACCCTCCTTAGATTTCTGAGGCAGTATCACTACAGAAGTAGATTGCCTCATCTTCCTTCCAAGGAGTGGCTGGTGGGTTTGAACCACTAGCCTCCTGGTTAGCAGTCAAGTGCCTTAGGCACTACGCTACCAGAGCTCCTAACATGGATGCTAGAAAACGTCAAATCATACACGTGGTTGATAATGTATTTCTACTGAGTAATGTTGGTTTACAGCCATGAGAGACTACCAATAGGGGACTGATTAAAAAAACATATATGCATATTTATACAATTCATTCCTAAACAAGAACAGGAAGGTGAATGGTCTTATATAGTGATGTGAAATGAGCTTCCACAAAGAACTATGTGAAAATACTGTGGTTTGGAATTTAACAGGCAAAATACATGTTAATGCTCCTGAGAAGAAAAAAGGAGAAACAATGTAACATACGTCTGCTTGTGTGTATTATACATGCAACATACTTGAAAGACACAACTGGTAGTTTATGTTGCTTCTGGGTGGAAGAAGAGCTTTTTACTGCTCATTTTTTCAGCAGTGTGAATTTAATGATGTATTGCCTATTAAAACTCCCCGTATCCCCAAGCATATCCACCTGGCTAATTTCACAGGGTCTAAGCATAGGAGAATCCAAATAGGGATGTGAACCAAAACAACTAACTCCTGACCACTAAGCCCTGTGAGGGGGTTTCCAGTCTAGACAATAGAAGACGCACTGGCACCATGGGCAGGAACTATTACTAAAGGAACACACAAGCTATTGCTCCAGGGAAGAGGGCAACTTTAGGTTTCCGGGATTGTCCATCGCCCCCCCCCCCCCCCCCCCCCCGCCTTTTACGCCTGTCCCCTGACCACTCCCCATCCCAACCTGCACTTTGCTGTCCTCCTCAGCCAGCCTCTCAAACATGTTGGCGTAGAGCTTCTTCTCCCGTGCAAGCTGCTTGCGGATCCGCTGCTGGCAGATAGCCAGCTGGGCCTTGGCAGCCTTGTTGCTGGGGTAGAGCTGCAGGACCTTCTGGAAGTCAGCCCGTGCCAATTCAAAGTCATTCACTGCCAGGTGGGCCTCTCCTCGGCGGAAGAGGCCCTTCTCATTATTGCTGTCCAGCTCCAGGGCCTAAAGACGCAGAGAGGAAGCAACAGTGAGACCTCAGATCCGAGACTTGGTTCCAAATGTGTATGCTCCTCAGCATCATGGGCAGAAAGGAGTGGCCAGCTCCACCTCAGACAGATTAAGTCTTGGGATATGAAATGGAAAGGTCCAAAGGAGAGGCCTAGGAGAGAATCTCACTTAATCCAACAGGCAGAGAGGGCTTCCTGTCAAAGGGAAGATAACAGGTCTCTAAATGAAACATTTCCAGCCTCTTTAGATAAGGCAAGTAGGTTAAGAGGGAGAGGCTAAGAACCAGAATGGGAGAAAACTCTTAAGTAGTTCTCCTAGAAGTGCCAACTGCCTCCCACCACTAAAACCAAGGTTCTTGCTTCTATCATCCCCTGCCTCGGGGCCCTTATCTCCCCTTATCTTGGTGTTCCTGCTGATCTACCCTGCTATCAATGGGCAAGTTTCAGACATGCAGACAGCTCACTCACCCCTGCCCTCTTAAGGGGCCTCACCTTGTTGCAGCTTTCAACGGCAGCTGAGAAGGCCTGCAGTTTCAGGTGACACATGGCCAAATTGAGGTGTGAGGCCAGACGAAGAGCCTGTGCCTTCTGTGCTTCCTCACTGGATAAACTTGACTCATATTCTAGCCAAGACACAATCTTCTTGTACTGCAGTACAGCTTGTTTGTACTTGCCCTCCTAGAAGGAGAGGGAGGTCTCAGGCACCCAAGCAGCCTAACTCTGCAGACACCAGTGACATATGGGCATGAGGACCACCCCTTAACCCCACAGGCAAGACCAGCTAGGCCAAAGATACTAGACAAAGACTATAGGTGTCAGCCTGTCTGCTCTTTGGCAGAAAATGACCTCAGCTCTTAAGGGAAAGGGTGGGCCCAGGGAAGCCCTCCCTGGGAACATCCTCAGGGCATAGCTGTTGGCTCACCTTGAAGTACACAGTGCCCCGCTCCTTCACTATGGTGCTCTGTTCCAGCTTCTCTCCCGAACTCATTTCCCAAGACTCCTTGGCCTGCCACACCGCAAGGGAGAAACAAAGTTAGCTACCCCAGAGTCATCTACAGGGTGAGACCTCATTTCAGGAAAGGGAACACCTTGAGCAACCTCACCTTCTCAAAATTCTTAAGGTGAATTTCGTATTTCAGTTCAGCATGTGGTGGGATTTGGAACTTTTCCTTCCCAACATTGCCAAAAGCATAGCTGTAGGGGGAAAAAGTTCAGGTCATCTGGGCAGCTCTTACCTGCTCCAGGCTAAAAAAAGACATCCTGTCCATTTCCTGGAAAGCACCTCCCACCCCTTGAGACCTGATTCAAATGTTTCCCATTTGGCAACATCTTCCCTGATCTGTTCAGACAATTAGGTGGCCCTGTACCATCTTATAAGGCGCTCTGGTGGCACAGTGGTTAAGGCATTTGGCTGCTAACCAGAAAGGTAGTGATTGAGAACCACTAGTTCCATGAAAAGAAAATGGGGCAGTCTACTTCCATAAAGATTTACAGCCTTGGAAACCCTATGGAGCAGTTAGTTCTTCTCTCTTACAGGGTTGCAATGAGTCAGAATCAACTTGATGGCAGTGGGTTGAGTTGGTTAAGATCTTATATATCTAATAACTCATCCTACACAGTGGTATGATCATTCATTTAAATGTCATCTTACTGACTAATGAGTCACTAGAAGGCAAGAACAATGTTCTATTAGACTTTGAACCCCTAGGAAACACACAGTAGGTATGTTTCAATTAATGTTTATTAATGACTGAATGAACTAATGGGAGATAAAAATCTTGATGTTGGTAAAGGAAGTAATGTGTAGCAGCTAAAACGAAAATAATTAGACTTTGATCCAATGAGATTTAGACAATTGTGACCACACTTCTAAATATAAGAGATCATAACAGCATTATATTTGATAGTTCGAGTCACAGTGAACTCTCAAGTGCTTTTCACTGGGCTGGGGGGATGGGCACTAAGCACAAACAAAAAATGAAGGATAGTTATACAATATACTATGGACGTTCAGATCCCTGCCTTTGGTTTATCTGCCCTACAAAGTGCCCACCCCTCACCTGGGTTTGAGGTACACAATGGAATGTTCTCCTTTCTCCATGCGCTGAATGGCCTTCTCCAGTCCACAAGGCAGATCCAGGTTCTCTCCCTCACCAATCTCAAAGTGGATCTCCCGCTTGTCAAACATTTGGTCATTGTAGTACCCTTCCAGTGTGACTGGCGTAAGAGAGATGCAAGGTACCAGGCGCGTGAGAGGGCAGGTGACTGCAGAAGGATGACATCTGCCCTCTATATCACCCTGTCACTTCCTGCCCCAAAATGTTACCTTCTCACACCTGGAGGAATATTAAATGAGAATGGTCTGATCCCTCATCCTATGGATGAAAAAACAGACCCTGAGAAGGAAAATGCCTTGCTCAAAGTGACCCAGGGCCTAAATATCAAAATTGAAACCCCAGACTCCCACCTCTTCTATCTACAACCCCAGACTGTACTGGCTTACCCTCCACAGCAGCTCCCTCATTGGGCCTGGCATAGCCTTCACCCCGAGTTCGTATTCTGCGGATGATGCCACCATCTTCGTCGTCTGTCAGGTCCTCTCCCTTGAACTCAAACAACTCTATCTGTGGGAGAAGATGTAAGGTGATACAACTCCTTCCCACACCCAATTCACTGATGAGATACACCCACTCCCTCATCCACAAGACTCTAGTATTTGTTAGGCTTCATCTGGCCACAAAGACAGTATACTAGGGGTTAGAGTGGCACTTTTACTAATTTCTTGGCAGCTGCCCTTGACTCAACTTTGTTAGGAAATCAATCTATCTGCTACTTGTTTCACTGAACAAGGCCAAGTTCTAGCCAATCCTAATTCACGTCCTTATAAAACCCAATCTGGTGGGCATTAAAAATGACTTCAGTAGTTTTCTGAAGTTCCTGAATTCTCCAAGTATCCCCTGATTGGCTCAACCACTGTCACACTGAAGAGTATATTAAGCTCTACCTGTTCAGGGAAGTCTCTTCTCACTACGATGGCTCATGTGAGAGCTCTCTCTCTCTCCCCTCCTTTGATCTCCAGAGTACTAATTCAATGCCATACTCTACATCTGCAGAGATCCTGATCTCCTGACTCCTTTCAGTTAAAATCACAACCCATGTCCTCTAGGCACTGCTCCAGACATAAACATGCCTCAACCCCTTACCCATTGGTCACTTTCTGGCAGCTACAAGCTGCAACCAACTGCCCTCTGTTTCTGTTCCTCCCATAAGGCCAGGCCCTCAGCCTTGGCTACATTGTCTCCAAGCAGTAGGAAGGATGGGAGGGCATCCAGGCACTGGGCTGAGATAAAGCCTGGCTCTTTGCTTTCCTCTCTGTGGCAGACACTTACCTCAAACACAAGTATAGCATTAGAGGGGATCTTTGGAGGACTGCCCGCCAAACCATAGGCATAGTCTGGTTTGCAGGTGATGTGGCACACTTCCCCCACCTTCATCGTTGCTATAGCAATGTCCCAAGCCTTGATGACCTCCCCTGCAGGTACAAAAAGCAAACAAGTCCTCCTTAGCAAAGGTCTGATTCTCAGCTCAAACAGCATTCCCACAGAGATTTACTGAACCATGGCCAAGGGAGGCTGGGGATCCGTTAGAAATGGGACCAGGAGGCTAAAAAGCCTGGTAACAATAAGTGCTGTCAAGTTTTTTAAAAAATAGTAAATAATTATATCTATACTGGAGCAAATCATCAGATTTTTTCTGCTGTGGAGTCAATGGGTAGGTTCAAACCGCCTACCTTTCAGTTAGCAACTGAAGGCTTAACCATTGCACCACCAGGGCTCCTTGATGTGGGGAGGAGGGGCTAGAAACACAGGACAGTGGAAAAAAAGGAGTAACAGAAAAAGAAGGGGAGGAGAATTTGTGATAAATCACTCCTCCTTGAGCTTGTGAATATTGTTTCTGCTTGTTACAGCTTATACCCACCTTGGGGCCTATCCCATTAAACCGCCAAACCATGCCTACCTTTTCCTAGATCAAAGGAGAATTTGTCCTTGCGGTCCAGACTGGAGTCAAACTTGGTACCATCTAACAGCCAGCCAGTGTAGTGGACAAACACCCGGTCCCCAATCATGGGCATCTCTGTGCCTGTGCCCTCTCGCTTGATGACCTGCAAGGAAAGGGAGAAAGTGAGTAGGAGACAAAGGCACAGCCTGCAGTCTTTGAAAGGAACATATAAGGGCTCTTCTGTTTCCACCCTCCCTGCCTGCTTGTAAGTAGATTCAAGGGACCAATCCTCAAATGATTCTGATACTAGGATCCAACTAATCTCTCCTCTTTTTTTGAGGAGCAACAGAATGACTTGGTTTGAAAAACTGGCAATAAAAGACTGGAGTTAAATTTTTGTTGTATGATCTTGGATAAATCACTCAAACTCTCTAAACCATATTTGTAAAACAGGGATGATTATTTCTTAGAAATTTTGGAGGATTAAATCCACAAAGGGTTGAACAAAAGATGATGATGATAATCATTATCAACAAAGACAGACGTATTTAAGCTATATGTCCTCACTCTTCCTAAATGCCAATAGTCATCAGGGTTTGGTTTGGAGATAGGAGACTGAGAGGAATATGAATAATGGAGAGAACAGGAACAGTTCAAAAGGAATAGAAGAGAACAAGGGTAACAAATCAGGCCCTAAATTCTGACTTGGACATGATTATTCCTGACCTGTAGCTGTTGTTGTTGTTGTTATGTGCCGTCGAGTCGGCCCCGACTCATAGCGACCCCTCCTTGGGTTTCCGAGGCAGTTATCACTACGGAAGTAGGATTGCCCAACCTTCCTTCCGAGGAGTGGCTGGTGGGTTTGAACCGCCAGCCATCTGGTTAGCAGCCAAGTGTCTTAGCCACTATGCTACCAGAGCTAAGTTCTTTATTTCAGGGCTAGTGGGTTTCCCAGGAACCTAAAGTTCTGTTTCTCTTTTTTAGCATTTAATAATAGGTGATCCCACAGGGCACCTGTTAGGTGTGTGGTTTCTCTGTGGGAAGCTTCCATGGCAGAGTGGAGAGGAGACTAAAACCTGCCACCAACCAAACCAAACATTACTGCCAAGTCAATTCCCTTTCATAGGGACCCCCCCTTCTTTACAGAAGCACACTGCAACATCTTTTTCTCAGAGAGGGGCTGGTGGGTTCCAACCGCTGACCTTGCATTTAGCAGCCAAGTGCTTTAACCACTGCACAACCAGGGAGCACTGGCAGGGGACTAGAAGAGTAAAAAAGTAAAGGGCAAGAGTGGAGGATAAAAGGGGAAATGACCCATCTTGGAATAATGACCTTATAGAAATTACCAGGAAGCTGGAAAGAGGGAGAAGCCACATGTCCACAGGAAACGGAGATGGAGAAGGGGCTTGAGATCCCAAGCGTCTGGCTAAAGCCAGATGCGTATCAAAATCCCACACTCCGGGCCGGGTGAGCTCTCTGATGTCTCTAACTTTGCCCAGGTGTCATAACATGTGGATCTGAGCAGTGGGAAATCAGGATGAGGAGAAACACTGGGCAGTGAGAGAGCACGAAGTCGGGCTAGTATTTCACCACCCTGGACTCTCCACAGAACCTGCTGTGAACCTCGGCCCGCCGGTAGTCCTGACCCAGGTCAAGATGCCCTGCCCCCAAGTCTGGACCCCTCCTCTAGCGCTGTTTGTAGTCCTGCGGTTACTCAGCAAGCAGCATGCTACTCTGCAGCCTGCTCCAAAGCAAAGAACTTCCTCCTCGCCCTACACCCCAAAGACCCAACTCTTTAAAAGGGGGGGAGCCCTGAGATGGGACCAGAACTACAGATCCCGGCATGCAGTGCTCCACCGTTTTCCGGGGGCTGGGGGAGGGGGAACTGAGCCGGTGACCTAGCTGGGTCCCAGCCTTTGCAAGTGGGAGGGGGATGAGAGAGCGAAGAGCGCCCAGAACCTTCCTTTCGCGCAGGCCAGGGCGCCAGGTCCCATAAGGGCCTCTGGGCCAGGAAATTACTCTCTTCAACAGCTTCGCGTTCTAGCTAATATTTAACTGCCGGAGGTAGGCGAGCCCTCGCACTACCAAGGATGAAGGTGGCCCAGGGACGGGCTTTCCAGCTACGGCTGGCAGGGAAGGAACTGGCAACTTGGCCTGGGCCGCGGGGTCGGGAAGAGGTGAGGGAGGGGCGGTCTGGGCGCAGGCCCAGCCCCGGCCCCGGCCCGGGCCCTCGGTGCACGCCGTCCAGGGCCCCCTAGCTGCCGCTCGCGTGCACCGTTTCGGCCCCGCCCCTCCTCTCTCCGTTGCACAGTGCAGAGTTGGCTCTGCAGTCTCTGTCCCTTTCCCGGGCCCAGGCACTGCAGGGCTAGGGGGGCCTAAACCCAGACAACAGGCTTCCAGAGGGGCCAAGAAAATGGCAATGCCCAGGCCACCTTCCTACAGAACGTGTGGTTGCCCTTCCCACCCCCAAAGAACACAGTTGGTCCATGAAGGCGATGCAATCGGTCACCGGCTGTACAACCCACACGCTCAAGAGCCAGAGGCTGTGGGGTGGGTCCCCGACCCATCTCTGAGCCCGGGGGCTCCCAGGCTCGGAGGAAGGGAGGCTGCGATTGGCGCTGGGGGCCGGGACGTTTTCCAGCGGGCCCTCAGGCTCCCCGGGTGTACCTCCCACCCCCCACTCCCGACCAGCGTACTCCCAGTCCCTGCCCCTTACCTTAAGCACGCCTTCATCTTGCTTGGGGCTGATGTCCACTCCCTCCAGAGGCAGCGGCGCCGACTGCGCCCCACTCTCCGCCGCCTTCATCTCCTCCGCGGTCATCGCCGCTCAGTGCGCCGTTTACTTCGGGAGCTAGACACCCGGCGCGAGCTAAGCCCTCTCGGCCTCCGGACCTGTCTACACGAGTGTGCGGGTGGGAGGGTGCTGGCGCTGCGGCCACTGAGCTGAGAACCGGTCGAAGGCGCGAGCACCTCCACCTCCCGGCGCGCTCGGCAGCCCGCAGCTTAGTCGGGCGCGGGAGCGGGAGTAGGTGGGTAATGAGTGACTAGGGGGAGCGATTGGTCCCACCCCACAGCCGGAGGGAGGGGCTGGGAGGAGCTGGAGCGGGAGCGAGGGACGGAGGGGGTGGGGGTGGAGAACTTTCTAGAGACGGCGGCGGTAGAGCTGGTTCGGGCTCTTAGCGCTGAGGGCGCTTTTATGAATTTTTTTTTTTTTTTTTTCCTGGTCTATTCCTGCTGTTGGCTGCCTAGTCCCCATACCTGGGCTCCATGGACTCAGGAACACCCCTCATCCCCCATCTCTCTTCCGGGATCTACCTTTCCAGTTTTGAGGTCGAACTGGATTCTTCCAGATCCTTCTCGATGCCTCTACATCACTTCCAATATCGAACTTGCCAGCCGCCCCATATCCGCCCTATACATTGCAACTCGCAGGGTGGTGGTTTAGAGCAGAGTAGCCGGATGTGAGTTGCAGCGCGTCAGTTTCCCCGAGACCTGAGTCGCATTTTTACTCAAGCCAGCCGTAAACACAGACGGCGTGGCTTCCCCATGTTTACTCTGCTTTATGCTACACAGATCAGGGAGAAGGAAGGGAAGGGAATGGGGCGAGGGGGCAGTGTAGGGAATTGGAGGAAAGCAATCTTGATTTCCCCAAAGCCAGGAAGACCTGGCTACGGGTAGACGTGCCGCCTTGAGCTCTTTACAATGCTACGAGCAATCGATTTTCAAGAATGATCCGCTGAGCTAAGGACTATTACATGGGGCATGCATTAAAGGCACCTTCCCCCGCAATACTAAAACTGCCATTCGGTTATTACTTTAAAAAAAAGGCTCTAACTCACTAAAAAAGTCATTCCATTTTACTAAAGGTCCAGGGAAGGTGTGTTTTCTTAATGTCTGGTTCTCAAAGGTTTATCGACTACTTGTGGAGTAAGGAGCATCTGTAGGGCAGGGCAAAGCTCTTTGAGAGAGCTCTCATTGAGAGAGCTCTCACTTTGTTCAGCACTTACCCGGTTAGCATAGTGTCTGGTCAGTTGTTGTTGTTATTTGCCGTCGAGTCGGCCCCGAGTATCAATACGTATTATTGGCTGCTTGAATCCATTTTAATATCTTTACACTCTGTGTCTAGCCCTGTGTCACTGTGTAAAGAATATCCCATTTGGATAGGTAATTAAAAGAACTACTATAGCTGAAAGGAGTCCCTGGGTGGCTCAGACCTCTATTAACAAAATGGTTGAAGGTTCGAATCCACTCAGACACTTTCTTCTAGGCGGAAAGGCCTGGCGATCTACTTCTGAAAGAAAGCCCAAGGGAGCAGAGCCTACTCTGAGACACATGGGATCACCATAAATACAAATTGACCCCACAGTAACTTCATAATATAGATGAAATTATAATACAATAACAATTTGATAATTCATTGTAGTTAGTCCCTTCTGGTGGAACTTGACTAGAAGGAAATGCAGGAAAAATAAAACGCTTCCCTCCAGTAATTTAAAGTCTAATTGCGCTGAGCCAAAGCTAAGAAATACCCTCAGTGGATTCAGGGATTGACTCAGTAGGGGTTAAATGTATTTTTCCACTGCATTTTTCTAGCAGAGTACAGTAACAACTATGCCAAGGCCCTCCAAAACTCCTGGAGACCAGAATGGTGGGTACTGGCTTGTTGGATGGCTGCTGGTTCTCAGTGTGTAATAGATTTTTTTTTTTTTAAATCCTGGGGTCATTGGGTTTTATCTGGTTGAACAGGTTGGGATAGATAGTGTTTTCCTTCAGAGTAATGTCTTTTTCTCCACTGGAAGCAAACTGCGTTGGCCTATCTCCTTCAACTCCCTTCAGTACATATTTATTGAGTACCTGTGAGCTTGCCATTACACAAACACGCAACTTAATATCATAGTGGAAAGAGCATGTGTTTTAGAGTAAGGAAAGAATTAGGTGGCCCACTTACTAGCTATTTGGGGCAGTTTACTGTTTGTTTGTTTTTTTAAGTCAATTTCTTGTCTGTAAAATGGGGAGAATATTTTTAAAAAGAGGGAATCTATGTTAGGTATCTATCCTGGCTTCAATGAGTGGTTAATACATCATTCTACTCACTGCTATCGAGTTGAATTGGATCCGACTCATAGTGATCCCTCCCTGGGTTTCTGAGGCAGTATCGCTACGGAAGTAGATTGCCCAATCTTCCTTCTAATGAGTGGCTGGTGAGTTTGAACTGCCAGCCTTCTGGTTGTCGGTCACATGCCTTAGGCACTACACCACCAGAGCTCCTTAATACATCATGGTCATTAGTTTAATGTGTTAAGTGCTATAGTAGAGTTGGGGATAAAGTGCTGAGAAAACCAAGGCCTATAAGTGAGAGGGGAAGGGTGGGGTGGTAGGGAAAGGAGACAGGCATGAGGGAAAGATTTTGAGGGAGAAAGCTCTCTCCCCTTGACTGGATGAGTAATCAGGGGTTCAGGAGATGGGAGAGAGCAAGGAAGGACATTGGGTTAACTCCCAGAGCAGGACCTTACTGTTTCAATGATTTGTTGTTGTTGTTGTTATATTCATTGTATTTTTCTGATTGTAAAACTTAGACATACTCATTTTGAAAAACGCACAGGTGTTTTTGTCTCTTTTTTTTTCCTCCTCACCCCTTCCCCAAACCAAAAAACCAAACCTACAGCCATCCATCAATTCCTACTCATAGTGACCCCTATTGAGTTTCCAAGGCTATAAATCTTCATGGAAGCATACTGCCTCATCTTCCTTCTGCAGAGCAGGTGGTGAGTTTAGAACCACTGACCTTGTGGTTAGCAGCCAATGCCTTAACCACTGTTTCACCAGAGCTCCTTTACCCCTTCCCAAGCTCATTTAAATTAGCATTCTCTCTAAACCTTTGGACAAGGATGTTTAGCAAAGTAATTCTTTTCATAATATGAAACTTCCTGCTTTGCTAGAAGAAGAGGGCACTTTTTTTTTTTAATCATCCACCTGACTTTGTATGGAACTCATTGAAAACGTTGGGGTTAGAAGCTTTGTTTTTGGCAAAATGAGCCTTCCTGAGCTTACCTGGTTCATCTCCCTAACTTTAAGCCTGTACTTTAGACTTGAAGGTGCCCTTGCTTTTTAAAGTTGATGTTTTAACCTTTTTAGGCTGCCAGAAGGCTGGCGGTTCAAATCCACCAGCCACTCCTTGGAAGGAAGGTTGGGCAATCTACTTCCATAGTGATACCACCTCAGAAACCCAAGGAGGGGTCGCTATGAATCGGGTCCAACGCGACCGCACTTAACAACAACAACAACAAAGCTACTAGTAAGGAAGTCTGGTGGTAAGGGATTTGGATTAAACAGAAGGTCAGCAATTCAAATCCACCAGCTGCTCCATGGAAGGAAGATGAGGCAATCTACTTCTGTAAAGATTTACAGCCTTGGAAACCCAGTGGGGGTCGCTATGAGTCAGATTCAACTCAAGGCAGTGGGTGGAGGCTGCGAATGCACTTAAAATTTTTTAAATGTAATATTTGGATCATTCAAAAGAATGTGAGATGAATATATGTGTGTGTATGTGTGTGTACACACTCCAATGAAATGAAACTTGGTATTCTACCAACCAACGCAATATAGCCAATATGATTTATGTTGAAAGATGTAATGCCAAAAAATGTCAAGGATTCATATAATTTCCCGGTACTTTTGGTGAATGTTGATTGAGAAAACACAAAATATATTGACCAAAAGTTACTACACATTTGATAAAACAACTGTTTACTTACTTCCGTGATCATAGCTCCATTTCCATACATTTGAAATATAGTAGAACTCTATGTGGGAGGCTATATAGTATAAAGGTTAAATTAATAGGCTCTGGTTTGGATTTACCTGGGTTCAAACTCCAGCACAGGCTCTGGATTAGGTTTTCCTCCCAAACAAAACCCACTGCCATTGAGTCCATTCCAACTCCTAGCAACCCTGTAGGACGGAGCAAAACTGTCCCATAGGGTTTCTAAGGTTGGAAATCTTTACCGAAGCAGACTGCCTCATCTTTCTTCCATGGAGCAACTGGTGGGTTTGAATTGCCCACCTTTTGGTTAGCAGCCAAATGCTGTAGCCACTTTGCTACCAGAGTTCCTTTGGGTTGGGTTTTCCTGGGTTCGGATCTCAACTTCATTATTGAACTCACCATGAGATCTTTGGCAAGTTTTCTTCATCCCAGGAATGGGAATCATGATAGCACCTATCTCATAGGCTTCCCCACCACCACCTTGAGGATTAAATGGAAGCTCTGGTGGTACAGTGCCTCAAGCATTTGACTGCTACCATAAGGTTGGTGGTTCGAACTCACCAGACACTCCACAGAAGGAAGATGGGGCAATCTGCTTCTGTAAAGATTTACCACCTCAGAAATCCAGTGTGGGTCACTATGAGTCGGAATCGACTCCATGGCAGTGAGTTTGAGGTTTTGGTTTTTTTTTTTTTCTTTTAGGATTAAATGAGTTTTATGTGAAGTATTTAAAGTAGTGCATAGTATATAACAAGTAGGTAAGTAGTAATCAGTATGTGTACCACATTCTATTTTTTCAGGCTGGTATATGGAATTGAAGATGTAGAGGTCTGTCCTCATTTGCTCTATTAATTCCACAGGAACGCTTCTCTCCCAGTGTTAAACCACACCTGTGCTATAGCCTGATACACATTGCTTAATGCTTGATTATGAATGTGACTATTTAATATAATTCAATTTTTTTCTGTGCTAGTAATGTTATTCTAACAAAACAGGGAGCTCTCTGAAAGTAGCAACTTGGTCTTCTACCTCCTAGTACATTGTGTAGTGTCTGGGGTCTTAACAGCTTGCAAGTGGCCATCCAAGGTACAAAAATTGGTCTCTCTCTTCCTGGAGCAACAGAGGAGGTAGGAGAGTCAGGAATAGGAAGAAGATAGGGCATGTGTGGCTAACTGCCTCCATGAACAACTGCTTCCTTTGCCATGAGAAC